AAATCCTATGGCAATATGCCTGAACCAAATCCTGTAAGTTCCCTAGAATCCTAAATTTGAACTATCGAATTTTGTGATTTCTACTAGCATTATTCAATGAAATAAAAAAATGTGGAATTGAAATTCCAAATTTCTTGATTCTCCAAATCTATTTTTCAAAATTCCACCTTTGTATTATTAGGAAATTGGATGTATTGAACACATATAAAAATCAGGACAGATAAGTACAAACTATGAACCTGGCAATGATCGGGAATTACCTCATAAAAAAGCAACACCTAAAAGGGAGCAACATTCAATATGCTTCACTGCAATTAATTTTATGTTAATGGTAGATAAGAATCAAGCTTGCACAATATAATAAAATTCGCTTGAACAATATAATAATTACAAATAAAATAAAATTCAAATAATAGCAAGTGGAGAAACAAGTTTTAAAAAAGCCTTAAGTTTATAAATAAACTAAAATTGAGTGAACATCGTTAAGAGGACACCATACCACGGAAGAAAATTTTCCTAACGAATTCTCTTCCTCCTTCATTACTAATTTAAAGTGTAGAAAAAGTAAGTTCAGAGAAATTTAGAATAAGCCATAAAGCTTCAAACACTGAAAAGAAAATTTTAAAATATACAAATGAAAATAAATTATGAGATGATAACTTAGGATGATGCAACGTAGAAGTTCTCTTTTAATAATTCATTTGAGTTTTAATATATTGAAGTATTTTTTTCAGCGATTGAAATTTCATGACTTACTCTAGGTGTGCCTGAACTTACTTCTTCTTTCCTTTAAATTAGTAATGAAGGAGAAAGAGAATTTGAGACGAACATTTTCCTCCGAGGTATGTCAATCTCCAAACTTAATTTCTTCAAATAAAAATGTGGTTTTTAAAATGAAAAAAATATACTTACTAGTTTTTGAGCATCAATAATCTGTTGAGCACCTTTGTCAATATAAGCCTGTAATAATCTACTTAGTGCAGGAATATTACCCATTCTTTCCCACAAAACAGGGGAGAGTAAGCACGGGAATAAAGTCATGTAGTGGTCGGGAACAGGAGATTCTCGAAATTCCAAGAATAGCGATATTAGTTGGAACACATAGGGCACAAATTCTGAAAAGAATAGCAGACAGATTAAATTTGGCAACAGATACAAAGAAGTACTATAATCTTATAGTTAAGATGCAGATAACCCAAAATACTTATTTTTCAATTCCTACTATTAGTTCACACTCTCACAAAATCTTGTTCAAATGTTCAATCGTTCATAAAAAATACTTTTTATTCATCCACTCAAGTTCAAATGCATTTTTTTTAAAAACTTCTAGTGGATGGCACTTCATGTTCATTTCAAATATTAATTCATTCATTAAATAGGGGTGAGGTAAAAATTAAATGGAACTTTCTGATGGGTTAAATTTTACTATAAGTGATTCAGTTTTCCAATCAGTAATAATTTCTAACTTCTATTCAGAGTATCTGTTACATTTTAGATTTTCAAATTCATGACTTTTCAGGACTTAACGAAGTTGGTATTTTCACCAACAAAAACGCAACAATAAATTAAAAAATGACACACCTTAGGTTGTTGAATAAATAGGGGAAACAAGGGAGGTTTGACCATAGGGGAGGTTTGACCCACCCCACCTTTTTCATATTTAAGCATGTATTTGACTGATGAGCACTAGATGGCAACACAACATCAAGTAGAATAACCTGTTATTTCTGTCTGTTAGCCATTTGCAACTAGAATCTAGGAGTAATCACCAGTGATATTTTTTTCAGCCCCAAAATTTTTTTCTGTTGTTGCAAGTTCATCTCTCCCGTGCCATTTGTCAGTAACATATATAGAAAAAAGTTTAATTGTTTGTATACTTAAATTAACATGCTAAAAGACAGTGTAGTTACTTTTTACTTTAACTTGTGATTGTAATGTGTTTTTTAACTCTTTTTCCAAAATGGTTGTTAAGGGAGGTTTGACCCACATCAATTCTGGGAGGTTTGGCCCAGGTCAAACCTCCCTATTTAGTTTCATGTGATAGTGTTTTATTTTTTAAATGTGCAATATTTAATTAGTTTTAAATATAAATGTTGCTTTCAATTCAGATTAAAGATTTCTTTAACTTGTAATCAAAGTCACTTAAAGCAATGAAAATAATATTCATTTGGAACACTGTGTTTCTGCTAAAACTAAACACAACTAAAATTTGCTTTCATGTTTTGTTGGCAAACTAACAAATTTTAACCCATTTTTCAAATTCATCACTTACTGTTGATTTCAATATAACTTAAGTATTTAATATTTTATGATATGAAAATTAACAAATTAAGTTAGAAATAATGATTTACCCCCAAAATTAGTTTATAAAATTAATATTGTCTAATCCATTATTACTTTTAATCAATCCTTGAATTATATCAAATGTTTTACTTTTACACACTACACATAAATATTTTATTACACATTGTGAGTGAGATTAATTTATGGAATCATAGAATAAGAAAGAGTCTACTATGGTATATTAATAGAATTAACAAAGTTGGAGATACTCTATTTCTAACTATAATACTTTTTTATGGTTGTTAAAATATGAGTTAACTTTTTAAGATGTGTTTTTTGTGGAAGTCAAATAATAAAAGATGCAAGGTATCGCCAACCAAAATGAAATCAGCTGTTTTGTTAGTAACTGAAAAGAGTAAAAGTATAAGAGCTGTAGCTACTGAGTATGGAATCGACCAAAAAACTTTAGGCAGATATGTAGATAAATATAAAAAATCAGAAGATGGCAAAATAGAATTTAAGGCAAACCATGTTTCTTGCCAGGTGTTTTCCAATGAAGAAGAGCATGTGCTTAAAGCCTATTTACTGCATGCTTCAAAGTTAAATTATGGTTTAACTTCAAAAGCAACGCGAAACTTAGCTTACCAACATGCTGTTGCTAATAATAAAGTAATTCCTGAAAATTGGACTTTAAGCAAAACTGAAAGTTATAATTGGTTGAAGTTTTTTTTTCACAGGCATGCAAATTTATCATTACGTCAGCCTGAATCAACAAGTTTGTCCAGAGCCACTGCTTTCAATAAAACAACCGTCAGAGAGTTTTTCAATAATTTGCTCTGCATCTTAGAAAAAAAGAAATTTGGCTCAGAAGCAATTTTCAATGTTGATGTGACTGGAATCACGACAGTACACAAACCACGAAAAATTATTGCAATGAAAGGGGAGAAGCAAGTGTCTCAAGTCACCTCTGCAGAACGTGGAACTTTAGTCACAATGTGCTGTGGTATCTCTTCAATTGGAACATCGATTCCACCATTTTTAGTATTTCCACGAGTTCATGTAAAAGAAATAATGACAAGGGGTGGGCCTCTAGGAATGCAAGCTGCAGCTCATCCGAGTGGATGGATGACAGCAGAGAACTTTCAATTATACCTTCATCATTTCATAAAATTTANAAATTTAGTAAATGCAGCAAAGATAACGAGGTATTGATTATATTTGACAATCATGAATCACATGTATATGTTGAGGGTTTGCAACTGTGTAAAGATCAAACCATCAACAAGCATAAATAATCTGCCACCAGCATCTCCATATCCCTCAACATCTGCGAGTTTTACCAATTTACCTGATTCATCAGAATCTACTCCAATTCTAGTAACACCGGAGCAGCTACGTTGGTTTCCCAAAACAGGACCTAGAAGAGGCAGGGGTGGAAGAAAACGTATCAAGT